CTGCCTTGCTACCTCTTGAGAAACAATTGTGTGGTTTTGTAAAATACAAGGGCGGTCACTAAACTTTTTACGCGGTGTTATTCGGATCTTTAAACTCTTAAAATGTATTTATGTCCTTATATTGTAAGATGTAATCTAGGTTAAAATTGTTATTTTTAAGTCATCGAAGGCGTCACATTGTGTCATCTAAATCCAAACAAGTCCTATCACATGAAGATGCGGGTATAATCTTAGACACTCCTGGTCTCCATGCTCTTTATCTTCCTCCACATCAAAGGACACAATGTCCTTAATACTCAGCAGCGAAGGCACGCAAGGTTGAAGCTATGCTCCCTAGCTGGATGGCCGCCATGGTAGAAACAAGGCGTGGAATTGGGTTCGACCACTGTAGCATTCATATCAGGGCGCTAATAGCAAGTCGGAACTCATTTTGACCCAGAGGATACACCGTGGCAAGTTTGAAGACTAAGATAACACCTTAAGATAATCCCAGTGGCCTGGCTTTTCTAGATACATTGTTTAGAAACAGTGTATATCTAAGTGTAGAGTAAAATCTATGTATATAGGAAAGTCAAAACGTCTTATAATTAGGATCGGAGGAAGTATTTAATTTAAAGAATTAGTATCTAAATGACATTCATTTGAAATTTTGAGAACATTAAAATATACCGTAAGAACACTCCGGACCGCTATGCCACTCGCGTGAGAGTTGTTGGCCTGGCGGTAGTGCAGTGCTGTGCAGGAGACAGACTGATCAATGGTGAACAGCAAGATCTACTACTCGTACAGCCTTTCCTCGTCGTGGGTCAGTCTCCGATCGAGACCCCGATCGAAATCCCGATAAGCTTCAGCGGGGCATCCATCCTCGTCATACCAACCCAGTGTTCTACTGTTCTTCCTCCCTCCCCTGTCTTCTCTGTATAAAACACCACCACCGATCGCGGTTTCGTGCTCTGTCTCGCTTCGCTCCCTTAATTTATCACCAGCCCTAATTTATTTTATTTCTTATATAATCATATCATATCATAGCACCATACTAGTATTGATTTCGTTCGCCCTCCTTTCCCGACTGTTCCCGTGCCTCAGACCGGCTCGGATTGCTTGCTCTCGCTTGCTTGTGTCACAATAAGATTCCGCGCAAGTTTGGATTCACCAAATCCACCGATCTCTCTCGCCCCGCGATCGCGCGCGGCGGAATTTCGGCCTGGGCGGGCTGGGCGCCGCCGATTCGGGCCTCTCCGGAAAGGTGAACCCCAGTGTGGTGCGCCCCCAAATCTCAGCTGCTTTCCTGCACTGTCCTCTGTTGTGGCTTCATCCTTTCATTCAGGGGATGGGGCGCCGCGGGTTGCTCACGGCCGCGCTTCTGCTGTGCTTCCTCGCTGTTTGCGCCGGGAGAGGTGAGACCAGTCACTCCACTTTTTCTGTTTATTGGTCGCCAGCATTTAGAGGTGCTTGTTGCCCTTCATTTGGTTGGATTTGCTATGAGGATGGAACTTGGGAGTATATCTGTGGAAGGGAACCATATGCAAAGAGCAGATGAGATACTGTTAGTGCGTCTGTTTCTCAGAAGTCTCTTAACAATCTGGAAAGGCGTTTAGATTTCAAAGGTTGATTAAATAAATCAGCGCAGATTATCATGCTACTTACTATGCAGACACATGTTCTGCCAATGCTTTTACACAGCTACAGTGATTCTTCAGGTTTCCTTTTAGTAGTATAAAATCTGCATTGTCCTTGCATTTCGATTCTTCAAGGTTGAAAAACAACGTTGGAGCCGTGACTTGTCGGCATGGTTCTGTAGCCTACTCATAGTCAGTTTCACTCTAACAAGCAACAGTTGCGTACAGATTTGGTTCAAAGACATCAACATATGCCCACTTCAATAAATAAAAAATTTGTGCAGTTATACTTTTCCTTCATTTTTCCATGTTACATACTTTTTCTTTCTGCTAGTTAGTTTGTCTCCACGTATTCATCGTGTTCCATATTACTCCACAGTAATTTCTCAATGAAACTTTGCTTTTTGCTTTTGTCAAATAGAACTTACGATCAAACAGAACCCTTCCACTACCATATACAACTCGACTCTTGCCCAGATACTTGTGGAGTATACTGCTGCAGTAAGTTCATTTACCTCCCCCCCCTACTTCCTCAATATTCAACTTCTTAAACTGTTTCCTCAAAATTCATACGGAAATATGCCACAGTTATTTAGGGTTGTGCATTTTCTTTATTGTGTTTGTGTTTTGGAGTTAAACATTACGGTATTTTGCAGATCTATACTGCTGATTTGACAGAATTGTTTACTTGGACATGTGCCAGATGCGGTGACTTGATCAAGGTAAACCTTCACTACCACTCATGTGCATTCTGAGTTTTGTTGCCCCACCCCATGCAATGTTGGAGATAGATGATGGAATTTTATTGGATGGCCTAGGGGTTCGAGATGATAGAGATCATTGTAGATGTCGAGAACTGCTTGCAGGTTCTTCTCTACTTGCTTTACTCATACCATTATCTCCCAGTCTTATAGTATACTCATCCTGTTTTTAATGAATATAAGCAGGCATATGTCGGTTTTGCCAGTGATATAAATGCCGTCGTTGTTGTTTTTAGAGGAACTCAAGAGAACAGGTACTGAGCTCATATCCTGTTTTGCTTAGTTCTTAAACATGCTATTCTCATCTCAACTCAGAACTCTGCCACTTCAAATCTCCATTAATCAACCAATTATGTACTACTATGGTTCATTCGTATACATTTATCTTTTAGAAGTACTTTGACCTTTAGTTGACAACTTGTCATATCTGTGTGCAATGTGTACAATGTACTTCTGTTACCCCAACTATATTGTTTGTCCAATTTCTCAGCATCCAGAATTGGATAGAGGACTTGTTATGGAAACAACTGGATCTTGACTACCCTGGCATGCCTGAAGCAATGGTGAGTATGTTTAAGGATTATATTTAAACAGCATTCGTGGCAAACCCAATTCATACTATTGTTCTGCCTGGTTATAGGTGCACCGAGGGTTTTATGCTGCTTACCACAACACGACACTACGTGATGGAGTAGTCAGTGGTATTCAAAAGACTAGGGAAGCTTACGGAGATATTCCAATCATGATCACGGGGCATTCAATGGGTGGAGCTATGGCTTCATTTTGTGCGCTCGATCTTGTTGTGAGTACTGAACCTTGCCCGAAGCATATGCTATTTAAGCTTCTCTTCATTCTTCATAAATTTATGCTCGGTGGCAATATTTGCAGGCATTGAGTTAGCCTGTTGTAGGGATAATGCTTCATCTTTCATTTAGCAATCTAAAGCTTGTCTTGAGTTTCGGATAATCTTCCACATGTCTGAACAGTTAGGATTTTACCATAAATATAGCTTTAAATAAAATGTTGGGAGTGCCATGTTTCCTAAAAAGAAGAGAATATTTCTCCATAATTTTCTTCCTTCTTGTTGAGCTTCTACACCCAAAAATAAATGTCTATGTTCTTTTAGGTGAACTACGGTTTGGATGGCGTAAAATTGATGACGTTTGGGCAGCCCCGTATTGGCAATGCTGCATTTGCTTCTTATTTCAAGACATACTTGCCTCAAGCAATTCGAGTTACTCATGCCCACGATATCGTGCCTCACCTGCCACCGTACTTCGCATTCTTCCCACAGAAGACCTACCATCACTTCCCAAGAGAGGTATTGTACTTTGCTACTTCTACAGATATGTGGCATTCCTTGTTTGTATGCTCCCCTAGACTCATATACTTTATTGTTTATTTATTCAGGTATGGGTCCATAATGTTGGATTAGGAACCCTAGTGTACTCTGTAGAAAAGATCTGCGACGATTCTGGTGAAGACCCTACATGCTGCAGGTCCTCTCTCTCTCTCTCAGATGAAAGAACACAACAGATTCATTGTTAGCATTTACTTTTGTCCATCTCCAATTATAATGGTAGGCTTCAAATTTTCCCTTCAACTTATGGGTGCTTTCCATATTTGTTTTTGCATTTTTCGGTGTTCAGGTCAGTAATTGGAAATAGCGTGCGTGACCATATATACTATCTTGGCGTCAGCATGCATGCAGAAGACTGGAGCTCCTGCAGAATCGTCATGGACTACAGCAGATTGCAGTATCAGATGGACCTCAAAGGTAATCTCGTATTGTCGAAGCAGCCTGGTTTGTCGAATGACACAGGATTCAGTGCCCAGTGAACCAGTGTATGATTTGTATAGTATAATAGCATCACGAATCAGTAATGTTCAGTGCTAGTGATGCACATATGTTCCCTCTCACCTCCATTGTGATGCTGGCTGTTGAATTGTTAATGCATCAAAGAGAGGGTTGGAACGAGCATGCCGATTCGGAGATGCTTGCTGTGATTACGTAATGTATTGTTCAGTTTGCAAATATAAATGCCGACATTTGACAAATGCATCAGAAAAATCAACAGTGCATCCAATTTGGCATGAGCAACAATACAACTCGGAGCATTCGTCTTTCTTATAAACGGGGAGTGTGAACATTCGTGAAATGACACTAATGCTGAGCTATTGCAAAGTTGCCCATCAGGCCTAGTTTGGATGTGCAGGGACTGGGAAAATTAGCCAACAGTTCAGTGCAGCAAACGGAGAAGAGAAAAACTACTACAGGAGAGAATTTCTGTCAAGGCACAGGAAAATATATTGATTGGCCAACAGACAGAGAACTAAACACAAGCATGTCAAAATGCTTTTATTCATGTTATTACAAAGATAAACAGCAAATTTCCGGCAAATATAATGTTCTTCATCTGGTACTGCTTAGCTCTTACAAGAAAACAATGGGAGCAACTTTGGACTTCCTGACCTAAATTAAGCACTGCGCATGGAAAATAAAATTAAACCACAGTTCCTCCCCTGCAAGCAGTATATGATTGATTACTCGACACGGCGGCATATGTAAACACGAAATCATGTTCTATCGTGTTGTAAGTGCCGTCAGCAGAGCAGCAACTCAGATCTTGGAGTTGTGCGCGATCTTGAACCACTCGGTGTGGAAAGAACCAGGCATGTCAACCCTCTCATAGGTGTGAGCCCCGAAGTAGTCCCTCTGTGCCTGCACCAGGTTGGCAGGAAGCCTGTCCCTGCGGTATGAGTCGAAGTAGGCCAGACTTGCAGACATGCCTGGGGTGCTAACACCATTGTTGATGGCTAGGCAGACAACCCTGCGCCAGGCAGCTTGCCTGTCCATGATCTCCTGGGCAAACTCAGGGTCAACAAGGAGGTTGGCAAGGTTGGAGTTCCTATCGTAAGCCTTCTTGATGCGGTCGAGGAAGATGGCACGGATGATGCACCCTCCCTTCCAGATCCTCGCTAGCTCACCAAGGTTGAGGCCCCATCCTTTCTCTGAGCTCTTGGCCTTGATGATGTTCATGCCCTGTGCGTAACTGCAGATCTTGGAGGCATAGAGAGCTTGCCTCACATCTTCGATCAGCTGTGCCTTGTCCACCAGCAGGCCAGTGGAGTAGTCACCCTGGAAGATTTTGGAAGCCTCCACCCGCTCGTCCTTCAGACCGCTGAGGAACCTGGAGTCCAAGGATGCCTCAATTGTAGGAGCAGCTACAGAAAGTTCAGCAGCTTGCTGGACTGTCCATTTCCCAGTTCCCTTCATCCCAGTCTTGTCCAGGACCTTGTCTACCAGGTAGCCTTCACCCTGCTCATCCTTGATACCAAAGATGTCGGCCGTGATCTCAATCAAGAAACTGAGGAGCTCACCCTTGTTCCACTCAGAGAACACCTGCTGCAGTTCGCTGTTTGTGAGCTTACCGACAGACTTGAGAACATCATATGCCTCAGAGATAAGTTGCATGTCACCATATTCAATTCCATTGTGAACCATCTTGACAAAGTTGCCTGATCCACCTTTTCCAATATATGTGACGCATGGGCCACTATCAGGTACCTGAGCAGCCACCTTGAGAAGAATATCTTTGATGTACTTGTATGCCTCGAAGGAGCCTCCGGGCATCAAGGACGGGCCATTGCGGGCACCCTCCTCTCCTCCGGAGACACCCATGCCAAGATATAGGAGCCCACGCCCCTCCATCGCCTTCTCCCTCCTCTCCGTGTTCTCATACCATTCATTGCCACCATCAACGATACAGTCTCCCTGCTCAAGGTGCGCCGCAAGCGTAGCAATGGTCTGGTCCACCGGTGCCCCAGCCTTGACGAGCATGATGACGACACGGGGCTTCTGGATGGAGCTCACAAAGGACGCGGGGTCATGGAAACCAAATACAGGGAGGTTTCCTTCCACCTTGGCACGTTGCACGGTCTCATCAACCTTGGAGGTCGTCCTGTTGTAGACCGAGATGGGGAACCCTTTGTCCGCGATGTTGAGGGCAAGGTTCTGTCCCATGACTGCGAGGCCGGCGAGACCAATTCTCGTGAGAGCCATCTTCTACCTGGACACACAAGCACCAAAAACATCAGGTTTATGAATCAGAATGCAGGCCACACAGACATCAGTCCAAATGTAACAGAGGATATGCACTTTCTTTGGACCTCTATTAGTGCCTGGTGCGAGGGACAGAGCATACTAGTCCATCATGAGCTAGATACTGTGAATTTTGAAGAGACGACACCATCTCTCATGTTTGTACTAATTATGCGCACGCGAGGAACAAGGCGGCGACTTGACCCATTCCGTTCCTCAAACAAGGCATATTGGTAACGAGCATTTTTCGAAACCAAACAACCCATTAAAGATCCGTGGCCGTGCACGTGAAGAACCAGAAGGAGGAAGAAGCGTCATCCTTAGCGCTAGCAGTTTGTTGTGAACAAAAGATTCAGATGAATGCAGTGACCGAGTGCTATGAGCTGACTGACTGATGGCAAGGATGTCTGACACAGCATGTTAAAGATTTGAGCTCTAAAGATTTCGAAGGTAACTCCGAACTCCCCTTCCCCTGCTAGGTGAGGTGGACCACAGTAGTATGCGTTTCAATTCACCCCAGCAACCTAAAGGTCTATTTTAACCGTAGCCGAATCTACAGAAGAAATCTATCTTCTCCTGCATAAAAAGCCCGTCCACGGCGTCAATTCCTAAGAGATTCGGAGACATGGCTAGGCGTATCCATTCAAGTTTCAGAAACGAAGACTCCGATTTCCATGGCTACCACTACCAGCAAACAAAAAAGGCAGTCGTCTCCTCCCGAGCAGAACTGGACGTAACGTAACAGCAGATTCGCCCGCGCTACCCTGCTAGGGCATCCTGCCGATGATTGACCAACGAAACGAGGTGCAAACCGGTCCCGGACGAGGGGAGGGGGCGCGGCCGCGGTGGGAGGACCGAGGGGTTACCTTGGATCTGGATCGAGGCGCGCTCGGCCGTGCGTCGCCCCTGAAGTGCAGCGCGGTGGAGGGAGAGTGCCGAGTGCGGAGCCGAGGCGAGCCTTTTGATCTGGGACTGGGAAAGCAGCGCCAATACGTCCGGCCAAGGGCCAAATCCCAAGCCTGCACTGCAGGCGCGGCAGGGCTGCGCGAATCGCGTTTGTGTGCGGTGCCGCTCACCAACCCCCGCGGTGGACCTACACGGCCAGCCGCCGCGATGGGTGGGTAGGGTAGGCGAGTCAAACATAACCTGACATATGGGCCCTGGTCCCGCGCACCAGCCAGTGATTTCGGATCTTGGCGAAATGGCTACCTGCCGCTGCCGTGATCATCATCAAATTGGCCTCTTTTCTTCTGTTCTTCATCGTCTTCGTTCACAATTGTTCAGATGCCGATCTGGTATGGTCAGCGCTGAATCACCGCCGTACCAGCGCCACCTGCCCACCCAGGTGTGCCACGCCGGCGGCTTCAGCAAACCGTGCGGCCACCAATGCCAATCTGCCGCCGGCCGGCCAGCCAGCCGCCGCCCCGGGCGGCCGAGCGGCTCGACGCGTGCAGAGCAGTCGTCTGCACGGATTGGCGCGCCACGCAAGGATCACAACATGGTCATACAGATATATGCAACTGTTCTGGGAAGCGGCAACTCTAACATAAAACAGTTGCTGTACTACTCAACAACATCGCCTATCCTACATTTCAGCTCTGAACTCCCAAAGGTGGGGGGGGAAGAAGCAGCAGCTGGCCAGCAGCAGCAGCAGCAGCTTCAAAGGCCTCTCAGGTAGCCAAACCTGACACAATTGCTCTTACACATACACATACACATGCCCTGTTCGCTTGGCTAATAAACCATGGCTGAAAGTACTGTTGGCTGATTTGTTGTGAGAGAAAAATACTGTTCGTTGACTAAAAAAGTACGGCTTATAAGCAAGCGAACAGGGCGACAAAAAGGATACATGCAGCTGAACATACTCAGCATTTAGCCGCCAAAACAAAAACAACTCACCAATGTGACTCCGCGCCCCACCTCTCTTCACTGACCTGTCTACCTCTGACTGAATCCTACAGGCTCCTCCTGAGGCTCCCCGAAAGCATGACACAGGTCACATTCGCAAGGAATGGGCACCAGGAGAATCGCATTTGCCACGGGAGGGCAAGAAAAGCCTTATTCACAGACACTCGGGACCAAGTGGCACCGGCGCCATGTCCCAAGATCGGGGATCCGACTGGAGCTGATGAGTGAACTCAACCCATGGTGGGTCTGGAATGATGCCTGGAATGGAACCTGACGGCTTCACTCATGTGTGCTGTCGAAGCTACCATGGCCATTTGTTCGGTCCCTTGAATTCTCCCCCCACACCCTGGCCTCCGTGATAGCGCGCTGTCTGTCAATGGCCCTTGGAGCTTCTCTTCTTCTTCCGGTCTGAGCTGGGCTTCCCACTTGCGACCCGGTCAGGTCCATGTCATCCAGGCCTGATCGTCGGCCAGAGTCGCTGGTAGAGCTAGTCCTGCTAACCTCTGCTCCATACTTGGATGCCCTGGCCCCATCCCTCCGCCGCAGGTCTGGAGAATGATGATTATTAGGCGAGCGCACACTGCGCTGGTCTTCGTTCCATCCAGCAGGGTTTCTGGCCCTGGGGGTAGATGAATTGCTCCGGCTGTGTTGAACAGGGGCATTTGGGTCATATGCCTGAGAAGCGAGATATGAGAGAGCAGTGACGACATCCCCGATGTGAGGGCGTGTAGCAGCTTGCTCTTGCAAGCACATGGCAGCAACAGCCAAGGCCTGATATAGACCCCTCATAGGGAAGCGGCCCTGAAGCATTGGATCAGCCATTTTAGGGAATTTCCTTCGGTCCTTGAACAGTGGACGAGCCTGCAGATTAGATGAAGTGTATTAGTTGTCCAGATAAAACTGTCTACAAACAGACGTTTCTGTTTTAAAGGCTGTGGCAGTATCAATCTATCAGATAGCAGTTTCAGATGAGTTGGAAGAACTATGAGGCATTCATTTATAAGCACACATAGGTGCTTTACTGACATTAAAAAAAAGGCTACATGCGATGAAATAAGATAGAAACATACCCATGCCACTAGGTTTTGCTCCCCCTGGACCTTGGTGTTGTCAATTGCTTTACGCCCTGTGATGAGTTCAAGGAACACGACACCAAAGCTATAAACATCCGATTTAACTGTCAGCTGCCCAGTCATTGCATATTCTGGGGCACAGTAGCCATATGTACCCATCACACGTGTTGAAACATGGGTCTTGTCACCAACTGGACCAAGTTTTGCAAGGCCAAAGTCTGATAGCTTCGGATGAAATCCTTCTTCAAGAAGAATGTTTGATGACTTAAAATCTCGGTAAATAACTGGAGGGCTTGCCTTGTCATGAAGGTACTCTAAGCCCTTAGCTGCACCTGCAGCTATCTTCATCCTTGTGTTCCAGTCAAGAGGTTCTTTATCTGGTGGAAGATCTATACAAATAAACAAATAAATACTATTCAGTACAAGACCGTGAGCTGACTGCAAAGAATTGGAAGAGCAAAAAAAGGAAAGAAAGAAAGAAAGAAAAGAATATCAACTCTAGTCAGAAGAAACTGTCTACATATGGTTTAACACTTTTTATGTTCGTAGCAAGCTTTATCCAAAGGTCTGGCTAAATACAAACAGAAGTCCCAGGCAAACATCAACAGATTCATTTTAGCCTATGAAAAGCCAACTTCTCCTGAGTTAGACCGATGAAGTCTGGGGGTTGATGAACCCCCGCCCCCCCACCCACCCCACCTTCCACCCCCCGCCCCATCACCAGTTCAGGTTCGAAGGCTGGCACAAACTTCTTAAGAACAAAATCAGGGGGGCGTTTCTCCCTCCAGTCGAGTTTTTTTTTTTTAATTTATAGATAGCGTATAAAAGAATTACATGGGCAGGCACACGATATAAAAATTTAGCACCCCAACCTTATATGATAGGCCCATTAGTAGTACAACATATATGCTGGTCATTTCAAGCTGAACCAAGAATTACGATCTATCAACCTAAGCACACAGTTATAGTCATGCTATGTATAAAATAGATTTAACAGTGAGATGAAGCATGCCACTATGCTTCATTACATTATTACAGGCACTCATGGAATATTCGGAAGACTAGATGACAAAGAGGAGATACACAAACCATGCAGATGATCTTCTAGTGATCCCAATGGCATAAACTCATAAACAAGAAGGCGTTGGTCACCATCAGCACAGTATCCAATTAGACTGACCAGGTTAGTGTGATGTAAGAGACTGAGCATGAGAACCTCAACCAGAAATTCCCTATTTCCTTGGAGACCATTACGATCAAGTTGCTTCACAGCAACAGCCTGGGAAGTAAAACTCTGTTAGTATCCAGGACTAATCCAGGGCGTAAGTATAATCGTTATGTTAGCATTGTCTACCAACATTTCACTTGATGTTTCAATTCAGAAGTCAAATTTGAGAGGGTTTAGCTTTACAGACAAAATGTCAATGCATCTTTCAGAGAGACTTACCTGCCCATTCTCCAAGCGTCCTTTATATACACGACCAAAACCTCCCTCCCCTAAAAGGCAATCTTGCCTGAAGTTCTTAGTGGCTGCAGCAAGTTCACGAAAAGTGAAAGTCTGTGCTGCAATATTTTGACTATTCCCATCCCTATGGATGATTAGATCCTTCTTAGAGTCTGGTCCACCCTGTGATCTTGATTTATCTAAGCAAGAAGAAAGAAAACATACATTGGATCAGTAGCAGTTACGTTCAACAATTCAACATTTAAAAAAGGTGCATAACTCAGAAAAGTAGAACTATATCAATAGAAATGCGGAGCCATGGTTATCAAGGCGGTAAAGCGAGCCATGGCGACTCAATACCACTTTGGTGAGTGAGGCGTGAGGCGAGGCGAGACCATACTAAGGTAAGGAAATGCAAGACATCAGCATGAAGGAGGAAGAATAGGAAAAAAGAAAAGGAAAAGAAGGAAGGAAGGAAGGGGTAAGAAGTGGGCTGGCTCAGTCCACCAGGCAGCCTCGCCTGCATATACATCACGATCCAGAGGCATCCCTCACTCACTCACTCGCTCACTCATTCTCCAGAGCTGTTGTTCCACCTCCGCCTCCGCTCCTGCCCCCACCCTTACTCTTGCTTCCCTCTCTGAGTCTCTGTCTTCTATAGATGTGCTGCCGCCACTCGCAACCTCTCCAATTCCTTTCACTTCCATCACTGTCCTGCGCCCTCAGACCAACCGCCAACACCGTCCCATTCCAGATTGAGCGATTGGCAAGTGAGGATGGAAGAAATCAAGCGAGCAGCAGCGGAATCGAGCAGGAGAAGGCAGAATCGAGTGGGATAGGAGCAGCATCGAGTGGGAGATGGCGCAATCGAGTGGGTGGCGGCATGCGCATAAGGTGACAGGGCGACGCTTTGCCTCTATCGTGGCCCCTAACCGCTTCAGCGCTTAAGTAATAGCCTAGCGTGGAACAAAGGCAAAATACGAATATAATATCCCCTGCAACTTTTGATGGTGCATTTCACTTTTAACTTTTAAGGATACATTTAATTGTAAATAGACTCATAATAGCAGTTGTTTTATCCTAGTATGTTCCTCATCCCTGCAGCAACAATAAAACCGTAAGAAGCTACGCAGCCAACCCAAGAAAGTTCGGTCGAGGCATCATCACAAGGATGTAATGGGCAAGGAAGTACTACCTATGACTATAAACCCCCATCACTGATCTCTTTTGTACAGTGCTGAAGGACACCATAACCCATCCAACATTTTACAATATAAAACCACCAAATCACTGCAGACAAATTGCACATCACACACATTGAGAGCTGTCTAGGTGGGGAAAAAACTTTGGTGCAGGGTCCAAACACATTCCCTACGATTCTAGATGGTCCATTGCACTTTGAAGGATACATTTGGTTGTATAAATAGACTCATAAAAATAGGTGTTTTATCCTCGTATGTTCCTCTTCCCCACAGCAGCAAAAATGTTGTGTAAGAAGCTATGGCGTCGGCCCAAGAAAAGAAAGTTCAGTTCATGAATCAATAGCTAAGCTTGACATCAAGATCACACGGATCAAATGTCAAGGCGGAGCAAGTACAACCTATAATAGCTATTATATAATACACCCCCATCCCTGATCTTTTACCTACACTGCAGAAGGCCACCACCATAACCCATCCAGCATTTCTCAATATGAAATCACCAAATCACTACACAATTTGCACAGCACACACACAGCTAGGACGGGAGCTGCCTAGGTGGGGGGAAAAATACTCTTGTGTAGAGTCCAACACATCCCAATAGTCTAAACAGCAGAATACCTAAATCCTATCGACTATTAACAAATTCCAAGGGCTGCAGGCTGCAGCAACGTATCCATGAGTTTGTACCAGGTCACCGATATTGAATAGGTACTGAGATTCGTGGCACCCATACATCCCACCCAGAAAACAAATACTCCCTACTACTTCGGAGTCCGGACACCATATGTCTGTATCCAGACAGCCCAACGCGGTTTCAGACACTCTTCACGGACGACGCGCACTGGTAACGCAGTAACGCTGGAGGTAGAGTTAAATGCCAAGAGGCACAAAGGAAATGAGAACCCAACACCACCAGCACCGGTTCCCGTGGTTTCCCGACCAAACAAACGAAGCACAAGGCAGGGTTCCCCCGATCCACAGCCGCCACTATTGTCTCAGCGGAACGATCGCAGCTGATTCTACCCACGGAGCTCGTGGCACGCCGTACGCGCATGCGCAGGTAGACTAGCCTAGCCTAGCCTAGCCTAGCAAGCAACGGGGAGCAAGCCTAGACTAGCCGAAAGAGCAGAGCGGAGCGAGGGAGGGACGGGTCCGAGATCCAGGTCCAGGTCCAGCCGCCGTAGCGTACCTGATCCGACGCGTGCCACCGCGCGATCCGGCGGGGCGTCCTTGCCGGCGCCAGCGGCGGGGGGCTTCCTGGCCTCCCCGTCCTGCGCCGCCGACCCGAAGCAGACGAAGCAGCTCATCGGCGACGCTGACGCCTCCGCGGGAGAGAGACCGGCGGCGGGGAAGCGGCCGAGCCGGCGAGGGGGGAGCAGGGAGCTCCTCCCCCGATCTGCGGGCCGGGACGGGAGCGAGGCCTCTTCCCTGACCGACGCCGCAACTGGAAGCAGGCTATTGGCCCAATTCGGGAGGGAGCGGAGGAGATTAGGGGGAGGGAGGGAGGCGCGGTGCCGTGGAGGGACTACGGGAGTGGGGTGAAAGCTACAGCTACAGCTACAGGAAGGAGGAGGGGAGAAGGAGAAATATGAGGCTGGGGGCAAGGCAAGTGCAGGCAGGCGGAGCAAAAGTCAGCTCTGCTCAGCAGCGGGCACGGTGAGGAGAGAGAAAAGAAGGAAAGGGATCTTTGGTGGCAGGGCAGGGCACATCCGGTTTCATTCATCGTCTTACGTCTATCCTGCCTGCCACCTCTTTGCGTTTATGGTGGTAGGAAGGGCACCTTTGAATTTACTACGCTACTCATCGACGGGTTTTTTATACCTCAGTCAAAAAATCAATTCTATATATTCTTTGTTAAAGCAATTAAAGTTTGATAAATATATAGGTAAATATATTAATATTATGACACTAGATATGCATATTATAAAAATATATCTTGCGACATATTTAATGTTATTTATTTGATATCATAAATATTAATATCTTTATATATGATTAGTCAAACTGGAGATACTTTAAGCTAGTATTGTGCTAGAATTATATTCTTTTGTAAACGGAAGAAGTAATTGCTAACCTCTAAATCAGTATGATAAATAATAAAAATTATACAAATATATTATGGATTGCGGAGTAGTACTTATATAATAGGCACCCCTTCCTCGGCGCACCATGGCGGCGGCGCCCCAGCACTTCATCGGTGCTGGTGTCTTGGCGGCAACACCCCTCTTCCAGCACACCACCACGGGCATGAGGTAAGTTCCTCATCCTCTCTATCTTACTACCCCTCTCATATATTAGTCTCTCTCACACTCTCTCCCACTCTCTTAGATCTGGCGGTGGTGGCAGGCCAAGGTGAGAAGATGGCGATGCAGATTCAGCGAGTGATGACGTATGATGTTGCTACTATGGAGTCAGCAGCAAGCTGAAAGAGGGCTCAGCCTGCTAGTAGCTACATTTTTTGTTATTTTTTTCTAGTCATCACCGCCAGTTGATATAAAAGAGCCGGTGGTGATCATCATTTTCACCGCCGGTTTGAAAACCGATGGGGATGAAATTTATTACCCCTGGCCACTTTCATTGTCGAAAGGCAAAACCGACAATGAAAAGGATTTTAGACCTAGCGATAATAAATTTTCTATAGCAATGAACCAAAGGAAAAAACAAAAACCCTAATACACACTACAATAAATAAATATCTCTAAGCGTCAAACCTGAACCTACATTCTCTCTATAGTATTTGTCACTAATTAGTCTCCACGAATATTATTTGCACAGTACTCCAAGCATCAATCCAAATTTTGGAGGGCAAAAAATACTTGTAGCCATAGCCAATGCAAGCAACTTGTAACTAACTCAAATATAAATCCCATTATAAAATAGATATTACTCATAACACTTGTGTTTATCAATAATCAAAATCCCAAATCACTAGAATGTAGATGTAAACTTGACGCGACCGTCGCACGCGAGGTGTGGAGCAGGTCGGGCGCTGCATGCTGCTAGTCCATGCATGAACTCCGCGCCAAGAACTCCCTTGTCGTCAATCGTCGCGGTCACCGCCCCGACCGATATGATGGTACGTGGCTAACGTGCACGAGGATATATATGAGGTAGTAGTGGCGGTCTTTGACAGTGCCACTTGACGCTGGGTGGCTCACTCGTGCCGAGACGTGTGTACGTCCTGGGGCTTTGATTATTAGCACCGACGCCCGCCAGGTTTGGATACGAGCATGTTAGCATCAAAGTTCGTAGGGGAAGGAATTGGGAAGAATTGGAGGATAATTGGAGAAGAAGAAAGGAGCAGGAAGCATAGACAGGCAAGATAGAGGGCAGAGGAAGGCTTAGTATTGATCTGTTTGTGATAATAGTTGTTGTCCTTCCTCATCTCTCGCTCGGTATTTATACAAGGCCTCGGTCTCGGCGTGAATCCACAGGCGCAGCTGTGTCTAGCCTATGGTTCACACCCATTCGTGCCCACCGATTCGCACATTGGCACGTTTGGCTCGGTCGCTTCTCCTGAGTCCTGGCTCGTCCTGGTTCGCGGTGACCGCGGCGCGGTCCGGTCCCGCCGTGTCTGCCTGGCTGGTGACCACGTCGTGTTTCGGCCCCTTGGCGATGCTGACATCCCCTCTCCGATGAAGACCTGCTTTTCCCCAAGCAGGGGCGCACGGGAACCGTTGTCGTAGCGCTTTAGTGTCCGCCCAGGTGGCCAGCGAGCGCGGGAGGTTAGACCACTGGATGAGCACCTGCGGCACGACATCGTGGTCGGGGGTGTGGACGCGCCGCTGCAAGATCTTCACAGGAATCTGCAGCCCGTCGAGAGTGTGGGGCAGGACAGACACAGAGTGAGATGTAGGTACCGCCGTCTTGAGCCGGGACACATGGAAGACGGGGTGGATCGTGGAGTCCTCTGGGAGCCTGAGCTTGTACGTGACGTCACCCACGCGGGAGATGACCTGAAAGGGGCCAAAGAATTTGAAGGCCAGCTTCTGGTTAGTGCGTGGCGCCAGGGATGCCTGGACGTATGGCTGCAACTTTAGATACACCCAGTCGCCCACTGCAAATTAGCGCTCAGAACAAAATTTGTCCGCCTATGCCTTCATTCGCTTCTGAGCCCGAGCTAGATGTTGCTGAATCAGTGTGTTCATCATGGCTTTCTCCTTCATCCAATCATCCAGAGGAACAGAGTGAGCTGCATTGTCCTTAGAGATCCTGAAATGCTGAGGATGATGACCATACAGAACATAGAACGGGGAATAACTCGGCGAAGACTCGGCGAGGTAGATCCAATCGAGCCACTTAGCTGGACAAGCACTAACAAAACATTGTAAGAACGATTCCATACATTGGTTCACGCATTTTGTCTATCCATCCGTTTACGGATGATAAGCTGAGGACATCTTGAGGGTGGCACCAGCCAAACGAAAGAGCTCTTGTCACACCTGACAAGTGAACACTCTGTCGCGGTTAGACACAATGGACGTCGGCAGGCCATGGAGACGGTATACATTGGAGAGGAATAACTTGGCCACCGTGAGAGCAGTAAATGGATGAGCTAAAGGTATGAAGTGTGCGTTGTTGACACCAAAATTTGGTTCAAGAGAAAAGGACCTTGAGGTCTAAATTTGTCAAAGGAAAGCTGAAATATTCAACAAGATCGCATAACCAAAGTTACCGTCAAATAAGTAAGATGACGCCATCATATCAGGGGAATGGGCCCCATTGACAAGCGTGACAAGGCAAGAAGCGAGAGGATACGTCAGACTTCATAGAAGGGAAAGATTGAGGTCCAAGTTATTGTAATCTAGGAAACTTTATTTTCTTTTCCAAGTTTGAGATCGGTCTTGTTCGACCAAGACTCGTAGTCAAGCCTTGGGTATAAATATTGGACCCCGGCTGTTGTAATAGACATCTCTCATCGATCAACCAAACAAGTACCTTTACTTTTTGGCTTACGCCACCCCTTAGGAGTAGGAGTAGAGTAGATTTCGACGAGTTCTTTGGGCAAGCAGGGCTACATCGGACGACCTGACCTCCGGCTAATTTGTGAGTATCCGTCACAACTTGTATTGTTACTTGCAAGGCTGCAACAGACGACTGATCTCTTACAAGTCACGGTATAAGTTAGTTATCGATCTATATTGTTGTTTGTAAGGCTGCAACAGATGACTGATCTCTTACAAATCACGGTATAGATTAGTTATCGATTCGTATCAACCTTTACAAGGCTGCAACAGATGACTGATCTCTTGTAAACATTGGTATTAATCAAAGTTATCAATATTGTGTTAAATACTTTACTGTTTGATACAATATCACCAATTGCCTGATCTAGATTGAGATTTATTAGTCTCGTTGTTCTGATCTATCGTCAGCTAAACATCTTTACGGTCGAATTCGATTCTTGACGTTAGATCCTGTTTGAAGACTAATCTATCTCAATCCTGATCGTACATGGCGGGTGTTTGAAGTCATGCTCTATTAAGAGATAGGTTCATTGATCGCTAGTATCCGGTATGACTCCGCTATCAATGCTGCATCAACCGACTCGATCTGTTGAGAATGCACTGGCTATTTACATGCTTTTTATTTGTTTTCATCTTATTTAAAAGCTAGTATGTTTCTCGCATGTATGCTTACATGTCTATCCTTACATCTTTTACATGTTTTCATGCTCATCGGCTAGTCAAGATCTATATACCTGAGTAAAAGATAATTGCCAATTTACTCGTTCTTCCTTATCATGCATCATGAATATGCTGGATATCGACTCTCTAGTCGATAGCCTTATTTTATCAGTTACTTAGCCGCACATTTGGAACTATGTGGACAAACATCGGCATATTTCACCTTAAATTACTAATCAATTTTCTCTCCTTGTCAATTGAAGAGTCAAATTGACTGGCACGCCCTCGGTCACGACCATCCGGTCCGGTGTCCTCCTAGGTCCGGGGAGAGCTCGAGATCTGCTCCACGCGGTTTCTCTCGGCTTGCTCACGTGTCGATGACGGGGATCGACCCGTTCACTTTTCGCTGTCGACACAGATTGGCACGCTTGGTGGGACCACAATCGTCAACATGGATAATCAGACGATCCTCAAGGTCAACCTAGAAGACCTGCCTGATGACTAGAAGGTACTCATTGAGAAGGCAGTAGAAGAATTCAGAGAAAAATGCCTGTTGTCTTACAATAGGACGCATGATTCAGTCGTTCAGAAGACTCCTTTGCCAAGGGTCCTCCTGCGTGGGCAGAGCGGTCCGAATGAAGAAGCTAAAGCCAGAATTGTCGCCTAGATGGTCCACAAGA